TCCTTTAAATGAAAAGCTAGTTTGATTTTAAAAAATATTCGTTGAATCTGATACAAAGTAGGTGTTTCTACTACTAAATTCTGCTCATTTTTCCTGTCTTACCTGTAACATTCAGAGATTTCTCCACCGCTTTATTGATCCACTGGATAAAGAGGGTGAAGACATTGGCCTGGATCTTAACGAGCCACGCTATATGCAGCGACTTCAAGAGGTACTTGTAATGCAGTGAATTCAGCTCTTCCCTTTTTAGTCTTGCATGCCATTSAGCTAAAGATCTCCTAACTCCCTTGCAGATTAATATGGTTGGGGAACCATTCCTGAATGTAAATTGTGACCATCTAAGATCATTTGATGAAAATCTCTACAGGCAACTGATCTGCTATCCTCAGGTGAAGTAGCACACATGTTTTCTGGCTTTCAGGTGGCYCTTTCATATTCTGGGTTTTAAAACACTTGTTTAAATGCAGGGCATACTTTGCGTGTTCGGTGCAATCTCAGTGGCTGCTTTATTTTACTGAATATAAAATGTCTTGTTTCATAGCAGGTGGTCTTAAATTCAGTTAGTACCTCGTGTATGCTAAGTTAGCTGGTGAGCTGCAATGTGCAGAGTCTTGTACTTCCATCCCTTGCAATACTCAGGTGAATGAATGAATATTGTCCAAACAGCAAGCTTGCTCTTATGTAGGAAAATGCTCATTCCCAGCTGATCAGCAGCATRTAAAATGCTTAATGCAAAATTACCTCATTCTGTGATTTAACTTGTAAGTTGTTTCTAACAATTTTATACAGGAAGTTATCCCAACATTTGACATGGCTGCCAATGAGATCTTTTTTGATCGTTACCCTGATTCAATACTAGAGCATCARATTCAAGTAAGGCCATACAATGCACTGAAGACCAGGAATATGAGAAATCTAAACCCTGAAGGTAAACTTCATGCTTGCCATGTTGGAAAAGAATCTTAAAGATTTTCATAAACTCAACAAATAGTAACATGGAATTACCTTAAGGTTATGTAAAATTGTACTTGTGGTCCATCCAGACCAATGTCTTCCATTCATAACTCTGTTTCAGAAGCAAATGCTTTAGAACCCTAATGCAGAATAATCTGTCCATAAAGGAAATCTCTTCTATCATCAACCATTCATGGTCTTAGTTCTACAAGTGTAAAGGATTCTTTCTTTTGTATACGTAGTACTGTAAATTAGAGTATTTGTACTATGCATTTATGATTCTTTTTTTCTCAAACAAAGTAGTTGCAACCTAATTGAATGTCTGCCTCCTGCCTAAAAACTAATGTAACATGGAATTGTGAAGGTTATTTAAATTTTGGGAGTATGAAGTCATGACATGAGTCTGTATTTTTGTAGACATTGATCAACTCATCACCATCAGTGGCATGGTTATCAGAAGCTCCCAGTTAATTCCTGAGATGCAGGAAGCATTCTTTAGGTGCCAGGTTTGTGCCTTCACCACCAGAGTGGAGATCGACCGTGGCAGGATTGCTGAACCATCAGTGTGCAAGAACTGTAACACAACGCACAGCATGRCACTGATTCACAACAGATCCATGTTCTCTGACAAGCAGATGGTATGTTGSCTTGGGTAGTGGTTAATAGTGGCTAAAATGAAACAGTTGCTAGTTTTTGCTTCCTCACCSTTTTAAAATCATCAGTAGCATTGATTATATATCTTGAGATTGAATGCTTTGCAAAGGGGCAAATATTTGGGAACATGAAAATGGGTGAAACAACTTACTGAAACAGTAAATCTACTTTGGAGAAGAAATGCATTAGGAGGGTGAAATGTACACCTCTTAATGTTTCTATATGGAAGCCCCTTTATATACAGTATGTCCACTTCTAGAACAGTTGAGCCTTGTTTGTAGTAGCATTTTAGCCATGCCAATAGCAATGATCAGAAGTCTCATTTTCATTWTATCTTTTAATCAGTATTCAGTTTTGCTGTTTGGGTGGGGGTGTTTTGTTCCTGAGCAATGTTCCTGATTCAAAACAATGCTTAAGATTGTGTTAATACAAAGTTCTGTTGTATGCTCTGTGRAAAAGCTTTGCCTTTTTGCAACTGAAACTTAAAGTGGTATTTTTGCTAGATCAAACTGCAGGAGTCTCCTGAAGACATGCCACCTGGACAGACCCCGCATATGGTTGCACTCTTTGCTCACAATGACCTTGTTGATAAAGTCCAGCCAGGTGACAGAGTTAATGTCACAGGTAAAATTTGGTTTGAGTATTTCCATTCTTCTTTTCCTTTGATCTTAACTGCATGCAAAGGGATGTGATGGGATGCACTGGGAAGCTCTTTGAGAGCAGGACACTTTTCGCAAGGCTTCTTAATTATATCTTTGAAAGTCATGGTGACTGGCTAAAATACTAAAAAAAAGCCAATGTTACTTACTAGAGTGAGGAGGAGACCTGGGGAACTGCTGGCCAGTCAGCTTCATCTTCGCCTCTGGGAAATGTAATAGAGCCTATAATCCTGGAAACCCTTTCTGATTGGGACAGTGTTGTACACCCTCCGCAGACTAGCAGACAAAAACAAAACTGGAAGGAAGCAGTGCTTGACAGACCATGACTGTGGTGCCAGCATTCTCCTGGGCTGTATTAGGAGTGTTACCAGCAGGTTGAGGSAGTACTGGGTCTAGTTGTRGGGTCTCCTAGGGCAAGGGAGACATGAACATAAAGGARTGAATTCACCAAAGGGCTAGGATGGTAACAAACCTCATTCATACACAGAAGAGCTGAGAAGCTGGGACTGCTCAGCCTGGAGAAGAGAAGGCTTGGGGAAATCTTAAAAAATACCTGATTTGGTGTGGGTAGAGGGGTGGTAGTGCCAAGAAAACAAAGCCAGACTCTTCAGTGATGTCCAGTGGCACACAGAGGACACAGGCTGATAGAAGAAATTCCAGTTAAAAGTAAGAAATTACTGTTTATGTGGTCAAGCTGCATCCAGGTGGCCTGGCAACGCTTTGTGGAGTCATTGTCCTTAGAGATACCAAAACCTGACTGGACACAACCTTAAGCAAGCACTGGACTCCAGCAGACTCATGTTTGAGCCCATGGTTGGACTAGACCATCTCCAGGTTGTCTGACCTTGATTCKTTCATTCTGAAACTAGCTGAAGAAGAGGCAGTATCTTAAATAGGGTCTGCAGTCAGGGGTGTGATAATGTAAAGTCTTGTGATACTGCAGCAACATTTTATAAACCACTTTGCTTTGAAACAACTACTGTAAAATAACCAAGCTGTTTGCAATGCATTAACAAGCTGTTATTAAACTTGGCACTTAAGAAAAGGGGAAAGGCTAACTGGAGTGGAAATTTTGAAACCATGAAGCCTTAATTTTTTTTTCAAAAATGCTTTCATTGTTGAGAATACTTGTGGTAGGAATGCAAAACACTTTTTAGATATGTGTGTCTGCAAAAATAGGGTTTAGATGACTTAAGTATGTCTTCTACAAGACTTACAGTAAGAAATAAGATGACAAAGTATTTAGGCTATGTAGAAAAGCCTTATTTTTCCAGGAAACTCATGAAATTTTTAGGGTTTGGAATGACCAGGTTTCTCCATATCTAATGCTCTGATTGTAATTTGTATTTAGGTATCTACAGGGCAGTTCCCATTCGAGTGAATTCACGGGTCAGCAGCGTAAAATCCGTGTACAAGACCCACATTGATGTCATACACTATCGCAAGACAGACTCCAAACGCCTGCATGGTGTTGATGAGGAAACAGAGCAAAAGATATTTACAGAGGAACGYGTGGAAATGCTTAAAGAGCTTTCTAAAAAACCAGACATATACGAGAGACTTGCTTTAGCATTGGCTCCAAGYATCTATGAGCATGAAGATATCAAAAAGGTGAAAAGTTCTGTATTTCTCTTGTAATAATTTTATATGTGAGTTCATTTGTAATTATTTATTGTAGAAGTACCTTGGAGGTTAAACATTCAAAAAGCTGCAATCTTAAGCAGTTTTAAAATGTCATGGTCGTGTCAGGRTGGAGTTGGTTTTAAGTGTATCATAATTCTTTTCAAGTTATGAAGGAGTGTTAATTAGAGGAAAGATASTGAAAAGGTAGGAAAGCAGAACTGGGAAAACTTCATTGCCGGATGCATCTTGGACATTTCTTGGAAGTTCAGTTTACTGATTAGCARAGGAAAATAAGTAGCTGTAACATAGTGCTTGCTGAAAAGAGGCAGCCAAAAGAGAAGAGTAGCTTCAAAATGACATTTGGTTGACTCTGAATTATGGAATATCAAAACATTAACTTAGATGTATCCAAGAAGGGACTGTTTAAGTGCCTACCGAGGTACTAYAGCATTGCATAAACTGCAGTCAGTAGCAGGTCTCAAGGTATTGTTAGACATCAAACACTCCCCAGTATATTCCTTTRGGGTGTTTTTAATGGATTTATACATTATTATAGTTCACAGATTTCTGAAAGTATGATTCAAAACCATACAATAATTTACTTATGAAATGGAAACACAATGGTGACTATTCCATTTGTTGTAACCTTCTCAACATGCTAATAAGGCACATCAAGTCTAAGGGGTGGAGTTGAGAAAAGCTGAGGACCCTTCAGATTCTCAGGTTCCAAACAAAGTCTGGTTACAATGACATAAAATTTCTGTCTTTAATGCTTGAAACACAGATGCATTGAGTTGTGTCAATTTTAGCGGGATTTGTTTTTCAGATGTTTCAGTTGAACAGTTGGATTTGCTCTGTTACTTCTGTACAAGAAGTGATGTTTTCATTTTTATAGGGTATTCTGCTTCAGCTTTGTGGGGGATCAAGAAAGGATTTTACTCACACAGGAAGAGGGAATTTTCGTGCAGAGATCAACATTCTTCTCTGTGGTGATCCYGGTACTAGCAAATCCCAGCTGCTCCAGTATGTGTATAACCTGGTTCCTCGAGGCCAGTATACCTCTGGCAAAGGCTCAAGTGCAGTTGGTCTTACTGCATAYGTGATGAAGGATCCAGAAACACGGCAGCTGGTTCTTCAGACAGGTGCTCTGGTTCTTAGTGACAATGGCATATGCTGCATTGATGAGTTTGATAAAATGAATGAAAGCACAAGGTCAGTTCTGCATGAAGTAATGGAACAACAGACACTCTCCATTGCAAAGGTAAACGCTTTTAAATATCCAAGTAGCAAACTAAAGTACTCCTAGAGGCTTTTGTTCTTGCTTTATTCAAAGGCTTTTGCAACGCACTTTTACTACAGAACCCATTTAATAACACTGGTGATATGAAGTTTGGGGGGAAAAAGTTTTAGTGGCACATAGTTGCAGCTTGTTTCACAAATTTTTTTTTGCCTTCTGACAGGCTGGAATTATTTGCCAATTGAATGCTCGTACATCTGTCTTAGCAGCAGCTAATCCTATAGAATCACAGTGGAATCCCAAAAAAACTACTATTGAAAACATTCAGCTTCCTCATACGCTGCTCTCAAGGTACTGAATTGCACTGCATCATTTTTAGATGTTAGACCTCCTCTTCTGAAAATGATTAAATATAGTAGAATAGAACAACCGTGTTGTTTTCAGCCCAGTGGAAAACAACTATATCATTTATTTCAAATGCTGTTCTTACAATTTCTATATGAGCAGCAAATGCCATTTAGTATTTACACAYTGACCTTGAACAGCAGGTGTGAAAAGTTCTCTAGGATCTCTTCTATTTAATTCTATGTTGTTGTTTCATAGTCAACTCCTGGAAAAGAGCTGTTTTGAAACTTAGGGAATTGTAATTTAAACAAAAATTCAGGATTCTTAGCGCCATAAAGCTTTTAAAGTGAAACACTGATAATCAGGGAGCTTGCAGCAGAGGTGGTAGAATCCTAAGATCTGTGCCTGCTTCATGTTCTGTAAAGTTCAGCAGGGGARGTAGCAGTGCTTRGTCARTCATTTGGKCAATGGCTGTTAGAACCASATTGAGTGTCTGCTGACAGAARCTTAAGCTMYCTGCTGAAGTTGCTCTTGGTTAAGMATTCCTACACTAACTGGAAATTTGAAGTACACCCTGATGGTATGGCATATATCCTGAGACCTCTTATGGCTTAAATTTCAATTAAGAGATGCTTAATGCAGCCACTTAATATCAAATGGTACCTTAATGCAAGTGTACTGGATAAAACTAGGTTTGAGTAGTCCTCAATTCTATCATTTGATTTAAGCTTAGAAAAATAAGTGATTGGCTGGCTAAAAATACATTATCCATGTATGCTTATAGTTGAGACTAGTTGAATATATTATTTGTGAAATTATAAACCATTTTTCTTCAGGATTAAACTTCAAGTGCTTTTTGAATTTATAGTTTATTATATTTTTTTCTGTTGCCTTTCAGGGCAGTATCTTTAGGAGCAAGTTTGTTCTGTGCATTTGTTATGCGTGTGGGATTTTTTGTTTGTGGTGGGTGCAGTGTGTGTGTGTGTGTGTGTGTGTGTGGCTTTTTTAATGAAACAAAAGATGCCAGCCTTGAACATGGAACCTCTGAATTTTGTAAGAATGTACCACACTTTCAAAATTGCAATTCTGTAGGATATAAGCAAATCCATTGTGCTGTTCTGCGCTTTGAGACTTCTAGAAAAAATTTCTTTCCGGTTTAAGAAAGCAATTTCTACTTAAGAGTAGGAATTAACAGTMCAGTAACTCCTACCTGTACTTGCTAAGTCAAACCCCCTAAACCACATACCTAAATGACAAGAAGATAYGCACACTAATGCTGGATCCTGTCCCATTCAGATTTGACTTGATCTTTCTGATGTTGGATCCACGTGATGAAGCTTATGACAGACGCCTTGCTCGCCATTTGGTTTCACTGTACTACCAAAGCGAAGAAAAGATGGAGGAGGAATTAATGGATATGGCAGTATTGAGGGATTACATTGCGTACGCTCGTAGTTATGTAAATCCCAGATTAGGTGAAGAAGCAAGCCAAGCCCTTATTGAGGTAAAGGAATTGTGCTAAGAATGTTCAGTCTTTCCTGACTTGTCAGAAGTGGTAAAATTCCCTCATATGTACACTCTCTGTCTACATAACAACTTTCTGTAAGATCCYTGAAAAAAGAGAATGTCTCTAAAGGAAAGAGGGATGAGATGAGAAGTCATTTTACATTCTAATGTTTAGCTTTCAGATATGTTGGTTTGRTTCCATCACATAAAACACATTAAATTCCACTGAAGCAAAATAGAGGTGTCATCGTAGACTGAAGTGCTGCTATGTAAGACTAGTCCAAAATTCTTGAAGTGATTAAAAAATTGATCATTACCATGGTTTAATTTCTTTATTGTGAAAAGAAGTTATGTGATGTGGGCATTCATCACTGCAGAAGAACTGTGAAGGTGTGTGAGCAGAAATACAGTATTTGGGATGGCTTGCCAGAATTGCATATATTCTGAATAAAGAGGTGGGGACACAGGGGGCTGAAAAAGAACGAATATGCCACGATGCACTGAAATATTTAACGACTGCGTTCCTTTTCAGGCGTACGTGGACATGAGGAAGATTGGCAGTGGCAGGGGGATGGTTTCTGCGTACCCCCGGCAGCTGGAGTCTCTGATCCGGCTGGCRGAGGCGCACGCCAAGGTGCGCTTCTCCGACAAGGTGGAAACAGTTGATGTAGAGGAAGCAAAACGCCTCCATCGGGAGGCACTGAAACAGTCTGCTACCGATCCAAGGACCGGAATTGTGGATATATCCATTCTCACGACAGGTTTGTGCTTCCTTAGTGTGAAAGCAGGGMTGCTGTTGGGATTTTGTAATTTTTAAAATGGAACTTAACCTGTCCTCTTCAGCCGATTGCTAAAAGGTTTCTTCTTTACTTTTATAAGGAATGAGCGCAACAGCTCGTAARAGGAAAGAGGAATTGGCTCAAGCCTTACGGAAACTCATCCAGTCAAAGGGTAAAGCACCATCTTTGAAATACCAACAGCTTTTGGATGATCTCCGAGCACAATCTGATACAGTAAGTTTCCTGTTTTGCTTTTACGTTTCCATTAATTTCTAAAAGCATTTTTTTCCATATAAACATTCTTGTCCTCAAATTGTTATGGAAGGAAACAAACGTTTTCTGTTGGCACAACTAGAAAGCTAATTCTGTTCAACACAAATGAGTTGAATATGCTGTGTCTTTATTTATTGTGGTTTYTGGAATTAGCAAATTCAGCTTCAGAGTTCCAGGTGAGGCTTTAAATTTCAAAAAGAGCAAATGAAAAATTCAAATCAAAATATTAGAAAATTGGTAGAAAGTACAGCATTTTTACTATGTTTGAAGTATTTTCCCTGTCTTTATTTGATTTGCTCCTTTTCTTTAAGGCTGTCACAAGGGAAATGTTTGAAGAAGCGCTTCGTGCCTTGGCTGATGAGGACTTCTTGACTGTGACTGGAAAGACTGTGAGGCTGCTGTGAGTTACCCTGTGCTTGAGGGCCTGCTGTCACGAYTTGTACTTTGCCTTGCCCATGATAGTGCCAGTCTGCAAGGTCTTTGAGATTTGGGACTATCATTTGCTATGACAAGCGTAGCCTTTCCTTGCCAGCCAACTGTCATGGCTTCACTYTGCCTTACTGTACTGCCACTCTGCAAGATTTTCAAGGTTTGGGTATTGCTATATATAACAAGGGTAGTCATGAATAAGTGGCACTTTGGYCATTACAAGATATTATGACATACCTAAAAGATCCCCAAGTCAATAATGGTATTTACATTTTAGCTAAATGTAATTACTAGTATGTCAAGGGCTCTGTGTTTTTATCAGATTTTTTAGAGCATGCTAACAGTATTGCCTGTATTTCCAATTGAATTGTAAAAATTCATCTTAAATGACCTTTTAGTTACTGCCATTTTTACTATTAGTATTGCTCTGAAATAAAATTGTTTGACTTAAAAGGACTCTTTTGTGTTCATTTCAAGTACAAATCAGCATATCCTGTGCTGAACACTTTTAGGTCTAGAATTGTGTAATTTTTGGGAAGTTCTTTGTGAGAGCATGAAAGGAGCTTTGCTTTTTTTGTTGTTTGTTTGGTTTGTCTGAGTGTACTGYGGAAGTATCCTCAATGTAAAAAAAGTAGATAAGGTTCTACTTGACACCACATTTCTTCAATTTTAAGTATGACTGGAAAAATTAAAATACCCACTTTTGGTGTAATGACATAATCAGTCCTGAAAGAACAAGGTCTTGTAGCCTGTTTACAATAACAWTCCCAAGTGCCTGGTATGGGTGATTTTTTTAATAGAAAAATACAATGCTATGTTGACCTTCCTTACCTGTACAAAGCAGCAGAACTGCTTCATGTGGTCTATTTTATTTAAATGCAACGAGCAGGTTACAATCCTTGCATAACTGTTTCAACCAAACTTGAAATTGCATGTTACTGAAGAAYATTCAAACAGTACTCTGCTTTCACTTCATGAAAAGGGGAAAAAATAACTACTCACTTATTTGAAATGGTCTTGGAATATACTGAGTGTTCATCCTAAAAGAATGGTAAGTCTTCATTTGTCAGACATTCCTGAGACAAATGTCTTAGCTGAAATAAAAAAATCACGTATCAAAGAAAATGATAAGAAATAGTGTAACACGTTTACCACAGGATGTTAGGGGGAGAAGAACACAGTGGCAACACAGCGTGCACTGAGAAACCTCGCTGAAAATAAGTGCCTACACAGCAGCTGTAAGGATACCCCAGACTTTTCAGAAAATGGAATTTAGTATGACCACTCGAGGCATCTTCTGTCTACTGATCTTACTGAAAGTAATCCCTAAGTCTGGTATTGGGATATTCTACGATTTTTTTAGGTATCCTTAAGAGTCAAGGGGAAGGTTAAGTTTTTGGCCTCCAGAGATATACCAAGAAATGGAATAAAAAAATTTGCTAGTTCCATGCACATTTTCTTCYTCATCCATGAAGAGACAGAAGACGTGAGGAAGTAGGCCTTTTTGCATACTGTGAAGTGCTCAGTTAAGACACAACAAATTTAGCATCACTGGTCACTGAGGTCTAAAAAGCTGCACTTTGCTGTGCAGCTGCTTTTAGGAGGGTGAGGGGAAACTGCACCATAATGAAACATGCATCATGTGGAAAAGAATCAGAAGAAATTAATAAGGTGTTGGGCGAAGTCAGAGAATCAGTTAGAGGGTGAAGGTTATCTCTGAAGCTCTAACACAAGTAGGGCATGCATTAGTCTGTTAAAGGAAGCTCTGCAATATGGAGAGAAGTCTGAGGACCTCAGTTGTAACATGCACAGAAGCCATAGCTAAAAGACATGGATGCTGTAGTGTGCTTCCTAGGGCGCAGACTTGGGAGGAAAGAAGGGACAGTTTTTAGCTGTAAACTTAAATTGACCAATCTAGCTCATTCTACAGCCTCATAAAAAACATTAGTGAAAGAAGATCCTATAAATCTGGGCAGGGATCACAACAGACAACTGGGGAAGAAAAAGCATTCCTGAACTATTTCCACAACCACTTCACAGTTGTTGGTATGGGGCTGTGGTCTGGATTTGCGCTGAACACAGGGTTGATCATATAGAGGTGTTTTTGTTGTTGCTGAGCAGGGCTATGCACAGAGCCAAGGCCTTTTCTGCTGCTTGTACTGCAATGTTGGCATGGGAGGGCAGGAGGTGACAGCCGGGACAGGTGACCCCAACTGACCAAAGGGATATTCCAGACCAYGTGACATCATGCCCAGYACATAAAGTGGGAGGAAGAAGGAGGAAGAGGGGAATATTTGAAGTGATAGTGTTTGTCTTCCCAAGTAACCATAACACTTGCTGGGGCCCTGCTCTCCTGAGGATGGCTGAATACCTACCTGCCCATGGGAAGCAGTGAATTAATTCCTTGTTTTGTTTTGCTTGTGTGCTTGACTTTTGCCTTCTCTATTAAATTGCCTTTATCTCACCCACTGAGTTCTCTAGCTTTTACACTTCCAATTCTCTCCCTGTTCCCACAGGCAGGGGAATGAGTGAACAGCTATGCAGGGCTTGGCGGCAGGCTGGGGTTAAACCACGACACGTTGTTTTTCGTTAACCATGGAAAAATGTCATCCTGTAGAATTCTCTTTCTGCTAAATTTAACTTACACTGTCCAGGAAATCTACTATTACAACAGAGGATTGACCTATACAGTTATATATGCCTGATACTGCCACTATAGTAAGGACAGAGGAAGGGAAGGACAAAGGAAAAAATTGGATTCTATTCCAATTGAAACAAAATTAAGATTTTACCAAAACAGTTACATATTTTGTTTAGTAGTTTGGATCAATTCCTGCTTCGCAAAACACTGGAGAATGCGGGCATCGATCCCGCTACCTCTCGCATGCTAAGCGAGCGCTCTACCATTTGAGCTAATTCCCCTCCGTGAGACCACTAGGGGGATCGCAAAATTCTGATCCTCTACGTGCATTTAAAAATGCAGCTCCACACGTAGAATGTAGTTTTCTCTCTTGCTCTGGCCTCTCTGTTCACAAACGAAAACACGTTCATCTTCGTTTCCAAAATAATAAATTTGTAGTATTTGATTTAGCGTTTCCAAATCAAGCAGCAAGAAACAAGGCAAACCAGGACCGGTGTGTTTCCCAGCTATGTGTATATACGAATTAAAAAAAAAAAAAAAAAAGGATTTACTACTTGCCTTTCACGAAAGAAAGYGCGTTGTGGCAGTTGTTTTCTAGCTATTAACGTCAGTCTTCATTTAAATATTTTTGAAGTATTTGCAGTAATATTTTTGTTCCCACCGCGAGCAAAACCGACAGTGGAGAATGCGGGCATCGATCCCGCTACCTCTCGCATGCTAAGCGAGCGCTCTACCATTTGAGCTAATTCCCCCCGTGTGCAAAGAGCGACATCCTGTAACTGTAGAGTTCAACAGCTACAAACACCGCGTCCCCAAAATTCTCGTTCTTTCACCGCGGGGAGTAACCCCCCGGCAGCCGTTCAGAACACTTCCCTACYGCCTGACCTTGAGCTGGCAATCGTTTCACCCAAGACGATAAAAAACCTAACGGGATAAGGCGGAGCAATGTGATAAGGCACTTCATGCTCGCTGGCACGGCAAACTCGTGCCCTGCAGCCTTCCAGTGCCACCTGACACACGCTGGATTTGTCTGTCTCCTACACTGGGGGAAATCACATCACAGGTGATGCAGTGGAGCAGCTTGAGGATAACACAAAACTCGTATTTGCCCTGATGTCCCCTCAGGAGACCATCTAGAAAACAAAACTCAAGCCTGATTAAATTAACATATATTGATTCCCATTGACAAGAAGATGCAACAAAATTATCTGTACTAAATGAAACCATGCCTGAAATGACACAAAGCCTTCAGAAATGAAATACCCTATTTTTATTTTTTGTTGAATGGAGCTAAGAAAGTCAGATTATTTTTCAGACATAGGCAAGGAAATTTTCCGAACCAGATTAAGCAATCAGAACGTTTTACTTACCATTTTACACGAAAATTTAGCAACACTCACAAAAAATTCAAGATCAGAAAACAATGCTGTCAGTGATATAAAATACATGTTTTAATAATTTTAAATAGTGCAGAGGTCTTTCCTCACCCTTATCGGGCTTGGGCATTAAATAAACTGTTTTTCTGTGAGCCAAATGGGTGAAGTTTTAAGCCTTTTCAGGGACAGCAGAGTGAGGTGTGGTGGTGAAAAAGAGGGAGAGGTAATCTGCCGTTTTCATAATGACTCAAACTGCACAGGGCAGATAAGGAAAATTTTGGATAGAGCTTAACCTCGTGAAAAATGATATGGTAAAGATCCCAGCTACAGGCATGCAGTGGGCCATCACTGAGCCTAAAATGCACATGTGCTTGTAAGAAAGACTGAAACTGCTTTTGCATATTTGCTTTCCCCCTCAAGTCTACTAAAGGGAGGTAGAYAAAACCAGCTACAATATAATGCAAGAAGTGTGAAGGACAAATTTATATTTTTATATTGTATAGAGAATTAACTTAGGCAGGAGAACATTTGATTTTTAAGAGAATGTTTGCAGCAAAACTGTCGTTTTACTTTCACATCTTGACCAGAATTGGGATTGTAACAGATTTGGAGTACAACCTTACCTAGGACAAGTAGTAACTTGTTGATAGTCGATTTTGTAATTTGTTTTCTTTTGACTGGATGCTGCCATCTAGTAAATTAAATTCTTCAGAGAAAACCACCAGCACATGTATTGTTGGATTACTGCACATACTTCAGTTTACCACCAGGATTTACTCCTCTCTATTTAAACAGAGCATATCAGGGTATCCATTCTCACTGTAAATTGCATTTCCCTTCTTGAAATCCAGAAAGCATTCTTTAACAGCCTGTGWATAATGCTTTAGCAATGTGCTTCCTCCTGCAAAGTCGGTTAGTATGATTACAGGTGAATTTTTCTATTTCAGAAATGTTCTTAGTAACCCCATGTATTTAAGATGCAATGCTATTTGAACAGAATTATCAAAGTCAATACATAAAGGAAGAAATACAAATAACTTACAGAACACAGGAATATATGAATAAACTCTTTCCACAAATTATGATAAACATTAATTTTTAAACCATTGTATTTATCATTTATGAATGCTTAATTAGAAAACAAAGGTGGAAAAGGAACTAAAGGCTTGAAAAAAAGGAGAAGAAAAATCTCACAGTGCTTCAGTAACTTTTAAGTGTAGACTTCCTAGATTTACAAGCCATTCTGTATTTGCACAGTAAGAGATGTATAATAAACACTAGAATAATAAACGTTCTGAATAAACGCTAGAAGATGCACTGCTCAGGAAAATGAGTTGTTTTACCCGAGGMGCATAATAGAAAATGCTCCTCATATGTCAAGTGTGCAGCCTGACGTTTCAGCCACCGCGCTTTCGACATAAACAGAGATGATTCAGGGTTGTTAAACAGCAACACAGCAGTTTCAGCTACAGMGGCCGCGCTCAAGTGCAGCCGCCCCGCCCCGTCCCAGCACGGGGAATTAGCTCAAATGGTAGAGCGCTCGCTTAGCATGCGAGAGGTAGCGGGATCGATGCCCGCATTCTCCAGTRTTTTGATCGATCGTGGCGCCACGGTGGGAACAAGATTTTCTTCCGAAACCTGTCCCGGGCTTGCGTTATAAATTCCACAGCAGGTAATGCAGACCATCTCACGCGGCTAATACAAGTAGAGAAAAAATTTCAAGTACCAAGATTACACTTGTGCACTGCTCTTGCTCTCTGAAATCAAACAATTTCATCACAAGTCCATCTGAACTAATGCTGTTCTTCTGTAATGCAGGAAAAACAACAAGGTCACTGTTGTCACTTACGACTGCACCGACTGTGAACATTTATTATTACTTTTTAATGATTGTCTCTGCGAAGATGTAAGCTTTCTGTATAAATCGTAGTTATCTATGTAAATCATCAGCTCATCACCGAATTGCTGTCTCTCCAGCTACCTTGCACCTGTTCTAGGACAGRCAGGGCACACTTGTTCCCAACGTGAGTTTTAAGTGATACTCGGTCTCTCACAGTAGCACCCAATTTCTTCCTCTAGCCATGAGAAGAAAATAATTTGCACTTTAAAAAAAAAAAAAGGTCAGCTTTGATCAACAGTTGACGACTTAAATCATTAATACAACGGATTCATTTTAATCCTCACGAAACTACTACAGGAAAATTAATCTAAATTTCAAACAGCAGCGCAGCAAATGGAGAATGCGGGCATCGATCCCGCTACCTCTCGCATGCTAAGCGAGCGCTCTACCATTTGAGCTAATTCCCCCTGCCGGCACCGCGCCCTTTTCACTGCCCATTCCTGCTTTCACTTTCCTCGCTGGTGGAGTAATTTCTAACACACCGACATGTGTGCCACTGCCTCCAAAGAAAACTTCTCTCCCCACCTCCCCACCAAAATCACGGTAGCTGGGCAGTCCGAGCCCTTCTAATCCCCTACCGAAGGCACTGACAGGCAATGACAGAGCTCAGCCTTCCATGTGAAACGGAGGAACAATTAGGTCTCCCGCCAAGCGCACTGCTTTTGACAGCCGCCGTGGAAATTTTGCCCAACATATCTGGACTCCTCGAGGCAACAGCGTTTTCTTCCGTGGAGCTGCATCTGGATAACATCCGAGCTGTGCTTCCAGACAATCACAGACTTATGTTCACACCAAACAATTATTACTGTTGAAGAGAAATCTGGATATATTTAAATACTGTATTTTTCTGAAACAGATTTTTCCTACRTGTAATCCCTAGGTGGAAGACAATCGGCTAAATGACTTTACCCTTCTCCATATTTGACAATATAAAAATATATATGACCGAATAAGTAGAGTTCTTCTAGTTCCTTCTGTTGTGGCAATAGTCTCAGTTCATGCTATGAAAAGGGGGTAAAAAAAAGGCACCAAAGCAAATGGAACACAGGGACACAAAGTAAGAGTTCACACTACTTACACCTTTCAGGAATTTTTAGGTTGTGAGTCTATCAGCAGATAGACAAGCACACTCACACAGACAAATACATATAAAAATAAAGAATATAAAATTAAAATGCAAAAAATAAAAACATTATAATGAAACAACAGTGAAAATTCTTTTCAGTGGTTTGACTTCACATAAAACAAGAATTGTGAACTTCTATTACACTTACAGTATTAAATAATCTGCCTTTCTGGGAAAAAGAGTATTTGAAATTAAATTTATTAAATAAACAAACAACTCTTGAGTTCCCCAACACACTTTCAGACATATGAATCACACTGACATATAAAGATATTTCAAATCTCTCCTCTTAATGACTTAGCGATTTYAGAAGGCAAAATAACAAAATTTCAGTCTTCAGCCTAAAGCCTTGTACTGAAAGTCCTGTGGAGATTGTTTAATTAATAGAACTCCAGTATCTTTCTACCTGCTCTCACTCTAATTGAAACAGCTGGCTTTGACAAAAAATGTTTTTCCCTCTTCCATTAAAACGTAATCAATGTGGAAAGAAGCATCTGAAATTAATTTGCAGGAGATAATTTCTTACCAGTGGAATTATGCCGCAGATACCACTGACATTTAAGCAACTGGCTGACTGAAAGCCTCACAGGTCAGTATAACCCGCAAAGTAAGGAAGCTTGCTGCTCCTTCTGCTCTCTGATGTTCCACACTTTTTTTAGTATTCCGTCTGAACAAAAACCATCTAAGTCTCAAAAACACCTATGCTATAAAACAAACAAGCAAACAAACAAACAGAACCCTTCTAGCAGTGTCTGTATCAGGCTTGTATGAACACAGCCCAGGCAGGACCAGGGTTTCATCATGCCAGATTTTGAATGGTAAAGCACATTTACGTGGCTTAATTAAAGAGAATCCTCAAGCAGGCCTACAAGCGCACAAACAGAAACTTCTGATTTCTCATGAGGCACTGACAATCTTAAGGCTTTAACACAGCAGGTAGGGTAAAATTTACTTAAAATCAAKCAAAACACAGAATGAACTATAAGTTAAGCAGTGACAAAATGAATAAGGCCAGATATAGTATATTCAGATCATTCTGTTAAGTAGCTTAACCTTCAAATCGATAGATGTAGCATTAAAATGAAACAAGTACATCTCCAGTTCTGTATCCAGTATTTATCACATATTTAAAGCATTTAAGGAATAATAAGGTATATTTACCAGATTAGCATTTAGGCTAATGCTGTGCTCTCTGTGCACTAGTAAGAAGACACTGATCTTAGAGCACATCTGTGASCAAGATAATTTTATGCTACTTTGTCAGCTCCCTAAATCACCTTAATAATTGCAACCTATAAAATCTCAGACTTTATCAGAGAGTTAAAATACWGAGCATTACATATGAATTACCATTCTTTTTCTCTAAAAGGATTCATGTTTTATATTTCCATCTAGGTATCATACAGWGTCCACACTGGCAAAGATTTAATTCTGTTTTCAGATGTTTCAGATCCTGTTTTCAGAACAGGAAGTCATGTATTAACATGRTTATGCATTTAGGTTTCTTTTCTATTTTTCTTTTCTAGGAAAACGGCTAAATTCATGTCATAAGTTACCATTTTTTTAAAGACTTTGTATTCCTACTAACGGTGTGTAAAGAAATTTCAACATCAGAGGTCACATACAATGCTCTCCTTGAAATACATAGGATGACAATATAGAAGAATTGTATTCCTAATTTTACCTACTATCTAGCTACCCCTTCAAAATGAACTATTTTGTAGTAATAAACAAGGTTGTTATAAAAGTAGTGAGGCTGACTATGCCTGACTCCCACTGGATCTGCAACCTTTGTCTTCTAAATCATCACTGTCAGAATCTAAAGATTCTTTACATTCCCTATAACTCCATGTAGTTATGCCTAGGCCACATGAAAAATCAGCCAMCATTAAAAARCACRTATTTTCCTCATGKTCATTTAGTATCTTTCCCAAGCCATGGATTTCCACAGTATAGTAGACAATTTATCTTTTGGWTTTTTATCCATCTTTCACTTTTTGTTGCCATAGTTAAGCGGTGTAAGAATGAAGATTTTTCATAGCTTAGAAAACTTAAGGAAATTCAGATCTCTATGTCCTGTAGGTTTTACTAAGGAAAAGAACTACATATTCACCAAATGAAACTTTATCCAGATTAATAGTTTTAAGAACAATAACCTCATCCAAATAAATAAATCAACCACTTATTAAAAAAAAAAACAAACCAAGAAATTGTTTATACAGAATGAAAAAATATATTTGGYTGGAATGTTCAAAGACTAGAAGGTTAAGATACGCAGAACTCACCGAAGTTCAGTGTATGATTAGCATCTGATTACTCAGGTCCATATGCGCTTCTGTTTTTCAAATTTATACACTACCATGATATACAATTATTTTAAACTAGAATGGGGAAACCAGATGTCATTAGAGGGGCTGCATTCACTGATGAAGCTACCTGCTTACAGTGTATTCCTAACACCACAACCATACTGAATTAAGATCACAAAAACATTTAGGATAGCACCCACCTCAACAAGTTCTTCAACCCAAGTAATCATCTAATCCTYCGCTTCTCCCTTAGGCTCAGTGTTACATGCTAAGTGAACTCGGGATGAGCAGAATCAGAAGTAAGGAATATGAGAAGTAAAGAAAACAACAGCTATTAAAATTTACGAATGCAATATAGGATTAGCGTGGTTGCAGTTGTTGCAAGCAATTGAAGGAGCGCTGGAGCCTGAGTCATGGCAGCACAGCACAAGAGTAGGAAGCAGCACAGCACAAGAGTAGAAGGCACCCCAGGAGAAGCCACGAAACCACCCCCTCTGCTGAGGAGCAGCACTGCCCATTGCACCTCCTCCTTCAAACAAGCAACTCCATGACTCTAAAACTAATTTTTATTAGACCCAGTAAGACAACCACCACGACCAGAAAGCCCCTGGGTAAAAGGCTGCGCACAAACCTCCTCCAGCTGCTTTGTCTTTCGAAGGTCTCAGCCCAGATTTGCTCCAGATGACAACAAAACAGACACAGTTCCCCTGCCTTCTCCTTTCCACTTCCCTGGCCTCTCAGGAGGTGGCCTCTGCTCCGCCCTTCCCAGGCACCAAGTGWGCCCTGCCCTTTGCTAGAATATTCTGTGGATGCGTGTTTCCACCCACCCCAATGGAACTCTCCCCCAGGGCAGCTGCTGCCCTCCTTTTTTTTCCTTTATAGATGGAGTGGTGAACAGTCCATGCTGGGAGGTTTGTCATCCTGTGAACAGGGAAATGCTGTAGCTGTGTCTCCTCCTAATGCATGAGGTACTTGTTGGGGTGGTAGGTAAGTCTTCAAAAAAGAAGCCACCAGCTTGCCTGCTGGTCAGCTCTTCTGTTCCCCCATAAGCTGCCTTCTGTATCATTGGGGGAAAGGATAATGCTGGAARGAGCAGCTTCTTATCCTAGTTTTCCCAAATGCAATGGCTGTAAGTTGCAGGAAATGAGTGTGTATGCCTTTAAATGACCCTAAATACTTTTTTCAGAATGAAGTTAGGTTTATGCTCGTGGCATTGCTTTGAGAGTGGGGGTTGGAAAACAATTTTAAAAAATATATAGCAATATAGCTATAAATATAGCATTTAAGGAGGACAGAATTTTCATTTKCCAAACACATTCCTGATAGTTTCTAACACTTGAGAGCATGACTTCTGAATAATTTGAATATGCAATATGCCTTTCTCTGTCATTCTCTTTTTTTTAAGGAGGTTTTATAAAATAAAAGAGTTATTTGCAACTGTAAAAGCTCTTCCTGCCTTGAAAAACAATCTTAGTCTCTGAACCTCTAACCCAAGTATCAGATTAAATCTTAGCAAGAAAAGGCAGTTCTATCAGTAAATRGTAAAATCCACCTTTGGGCTTACCCAGCCAGCAGGCTTGGAGAAACCGCACAGGCTAAGGTGCTCCAGCTTCCACCCCTCTTCCTCAGTTCCTTGAAGTTTCTGAAGTTTTGGCAATAACACATCTTCTGTGCATTTGTAACCTTGCTATTTTTTGTGTATTGCTAGATATTTTTCCTGAAAAAAGTAGAAAAAGGAAAAACCAGAAATTTATTGATTTGTTTCAGCAAAAGCTGAGCTATTTTACTTGAGTTCTTCCTTTGCTAAATGTTAGTAAAACTACAGCCACTTCAACACTTCTCAAATAAATAAAAGTTTATGAAAAAAATGTTAATGGTTAGACAACTTGAAACAAGATCAGTGCAGAATCTTAAGTTGTTTACCAGTCATTTAGGATTATAGCAGCATTTGAATTGTTAGTAGCCATCTCTAAACAACTTCCTGTGAAGAAAGCTTTATTTTCTCTGACGATAAAGACAAAACTAAGGTGTTGTTTAAAAAAATCCAAATACTTGACCAGGAAGTTACTCAGAAATGCCTGGTCTAAATGTGTTCTTTGTCATCATTACTAAATAATGGAATAATGAGCGTTTGTTAGCTAACTCACTCTAAATTCCTAGAGATGATCTAGTAAGCAGGTGCTTTTAGGCCCTGATGAGCACCCAAGCCAGTTCATGCTGCATAAATAAGATCGTGTGAAAAAAATGTGCCTTACTTCAGTTGGATTTTGTATCACCTAGTGTTTTCAACAGAACAGCTGCTGAAGTGCCTGTGCATATTCTAGCAGCTGCCATAGAAAAATGAATTATTTACATGGCAAGGATCTCTCTTTACTGCATCATTTTCACACTGTTTCTAGTCTTTTAAACATTTTACAAACACTGAAAAACTATACACAGTCACCCTCTCCTCCCCTTCCAAAATCTTGAATTTAACTCTGAGAGAACTAGCTTTAATATTTAAAAAAACCAACAAACAAAAAAACCACCAACCAACAAAAAATCAGGTATAGTTTAAAAATAAAGCTGGCCATAAATTCAGAGCAACTTTATACCTGATTATAACTCTTACTTGCACCATCAGTGCTCTTAGGACTGGCAGCTATATTTTTTTTCTAAATACCATTATTCTTTCTTCCCCTTCCTATTTTCTTGTATCAAAACACTGTRACAAATCAATGCTGAAGCTTATCAAGCAAGAAGTGAATACTGCCGCATGGAGTAAAGACAGTGGGTTAGTTTCAGTTATTTCTAGTCTGTGTTGCCACCTGCCAAAGAATCCAGCTCCAGGAACAACTGGATGTGCATGCACAGKAGCTCCACACCATCCATCACATGTCAGGGCTAAGGTAGAGAAAATGATTCAGCATCACCAGAAGCCAGCAAATAATGTAAAAACAAGCCAGGCCGGTTAGAAACCAGTCAGGTGGCAATCTTACCTCCACTCATGCTCTGATTTSATTTCTTCTTGGCCTGCCTTAAACTTGATGGATGAGTAACTTCTCCCATTCTGTTGTGGAGTGAAAAATGCRGCCTGGCTGTGCAAGGGAGCCACTGTCTGATTTAGTGCAGATGTAGTGCAGGAACAATCTCCTCTGTAAATGAAGATGCTCAAACAACAGTCAGGAAGTCACTGAGTGGCAGATTATGGGGTATATAATTTGGCTATATGTGTTTATGGAGAAGAGCAGAAGTGCACACTSCCATAACAAATCAGATGGAGCTTACTAACTCTTCTCACCCTACAGAGAACCCAGCTCTCTTGCCCAGCTCTCYTGCTTAGTAAATCACTTTACATTTCAAAGGGATACCTGA